TATATCCGATGAGATTGTTTTTTTATATAAATCATTTAAATGCCACATAATCACATTTAATTAATTATAATGCCAATTAAGGCATTGAAATTATAATTTAATGATTTTTAATGAAGCGTGGAAATCCTGTCTAAATATGGCAGGACACATTTAAATATGGGCACCACATTCTTACCATCTGTAGACTACAGGTGAAACTTGGATGTGCGAACAGAATGTTTTTGCTTTAGACAAAGTTAAAAGTAATAAAACATTCATGTCATCTGATGAATGAGCTACACTTAAAAGAAACAGCTAAAAGTTTATGTTTTGTTTTTAATTCATGAAGGACGGCCCTACCTTCAGCTTTGAGGTTCATGCCTCCAAACACCAGCGGGCCGATGAACTGCGCCTTCATCTCTCCCTCAAAGTAAACGAAGATGGTTGGCAGGTTGCGGTCGGGGTAGTTGGGGATGCAGGTGGTGGAGATGGACTTAAGGAACTTGGTCTGAGGGAATTTCTTGGCCAGGACACTCAGATGCTGGTTGATGAGGGTACAGAGAGGGATGCTGGGTGGAGATGAAACAGACAGAAATGTTACTTCCTGACTCTGACTGCTACACTACTGTATATTAAAGTCTTTTCTCTATGTCAACGTATAGCTGCTGCTATTGACAGTATAAATAGGTAAGTAACTGAAATAGTGTTTCACTTGTCTAGCTCAAAATGTACTGCCAACAAAAAAAGGTCAGTCATTTTTTTTCACACTGGCATATTTGTTTTAAGCTTGTTCTATTATCTAAAAACCTTTGATCTTCCAACTGACTTACAGTTTTCTAGTATTTTCCATGAACTAAGCACAAAGAGCCACTATTTTCCATTTGTCTTTGTCAGTATATACATGCCTAAATTGAACATTTTTCATCAAATAAAATCATTTTTTATGCTAAAAAAACAAACTAAGACAACTAATTTAAACTATGAGGTAACTTACCCCTGCTTGTAGAGGTGCAGCACCACCCAGATTCCATCTCCTGCCTTGTTGACCTCTTTCACATAATCCTGTCCAGAGATTTCACCCAGTTCGCCGAACACGTTCTTCATCTGAGCCGCCTTCCACTCTGCAAGGCGCTTCTGTCTAGAAAGAGAAACGGGGCTCATCAGTTATTGAAGATTCTCAGTCATCCAGGTCATAGTTATTCCAAAATAAGTTATTTTCTTTGTCCAAAATGTGAACATTGAACAAAGTAAATAGATGGTTTGAGAGGGGCGTGAAGGAAGTCATCTATGTTAAGAAATTGAGTTATTAATTAATCGAGATATTGAGTTGATCTCTTCCCACTATCCTCACAACCCCAACCCCATACAGGGGAACAAAAGACCTCGCCTATTCAGCCAGGCCAACAAATCCCTTTAACGATCCTCCTTCCAGAGACATAGACAGGTATGGGGCTTTGCAGGCTAACAAAAGAAGCCAATGACCCCCATTCCAAAGGGGTGGACCCGTTCATCCGCTTCAATTTTAATGTTTTCAAAAGAAAAACAAGCTTTTGTTGGGCTACTGCATAAAGCCTCGAACTCAACGCTCTTCCTGACATTTTGAACTGAAAAAGCTTCCTGGATGGGAAGCGAAACGTCTTCAAACTTGGAAAAAGTCCAGTGGATTGTTTTTTTTTACTTTTTTGGAAGCGCTCATCGCTGCCCTCATGTGGGAATAATCTTTACGATGGGAAAATTCCCACTCAAAATGTCGGAAAGTGCGACTGAAGAAATCTAATTCTGGGAATCTTCAGAAATGTTTCACATAAAATCCTGAAACAAAGTCATGTTACTTACTTGTACATCTCGATGGCAGCCTCATCATCTTCCCCAAACTCATCCTCGTTCTCCTCAAGTTCATCCAGTGTCATGCTCTCATAGGTTTTGACTATGGGAAGAATATATTCCATCATTATACTCAAAATTATTAGTTAAAATGTCAAATTAACACATACTGGCAACTATTGGTATTATAATTACGGCATTAAAGCAACACTGTGTACCCTTTAACCAGAGTATTAGCTTCATTTTATACATATTAAATGATATTTCAGGTCAATATACAGATCGGAATGATTTATTTGATCCAGAGTGCTTCTTTACAGTCCCCTTAAACACAGAGCTAACCAAGCTAAAACTTGTTAGCCAACAAAACAAATGAAACCTACCTGATCACAAATATCTGGGATTTTCTGGTGTAGGATTTAATCTAAAGCGGCTTTAAAAAGAAACTTAAAATTTCTCAATCTGCTCATCCAAAGTGGTCTGCTATCAGACTCCATTTAAACAGTGCAGCGTTTCTGAACCTTAAAGGAATAGTACACCCAAAACATGATTAGCCTTCATTTTCTACTCACCCCCATGCTGAACAACACTCTGGAGTACTTTTTTGATATCTCAAATGCATCTGGAGATCTGGGAGGCTTCTTGCTGTCTGCTGACATTCAAATAATGGAGGTCTATGGCGCCCGAGGCAGAAAGGTCCATAAAAGTCCACAAAAAACGTGTCAGTATTCCTCCATACTGCTCGTCCAATGTATTCCAAGTGTCCTGAGTGGGTAGCGTCCATAATTTACTCGAAACGAAGTCATTTAGAATGTTTTTAGAGCATAAACAGTAGTTTATAGGATTTCCTAAAAGCGCGCGCCTGCGAGTTCACGATGCTACGGAAACCGCGGCAGACCAAACCAGACGAAAGTGCGCATTCAGCGTCTACTCTGCCGATAATGCAAGCGTAGAAGAAGAAATGTGCTGTTTACCTGTGCAAAGAAAGAAACAACGAAAGAAAAATGTCTGAGGACTTCAGTGTTGAGGAAGAGCATGAGTTCTTTGCCGAGCTGAATGCGCACTTTCATCTGGTTTGGTCTGCCGCGGCTTCCGTAGCGTCGTGAACTCGCAGGCGCGCGCTTTTAGGAAATCCTATAAACTACTGTTTATGCTCTAAAAACATTCTAAATGACTTTGTTTCCATAAAATTCTGGATGCTACCCACTCAGGACACTTGGAATACATTGGACGAGCAGTATGGAGGAATATTGACACGTTTTTTGTGGACTTTTATGGACCTGTCTGTCTCGGGCACCATAGACCTCCATTATTTGAATGTCAGCAGACAGCAAGAAGCCTCCCAGATCTCCAGATGCATTTGAGATATCAAAAAAGTACTCCAGAGTGTTGTTCAGCATGGGGGTGAGTAGAAAATGAAGGCTAATCATGTTTTGGGTGTACTATTCCTTTAAAGTTGTAGATCTAGCGCCCCTAGTGGCTAAAAGTTAAACAGCGCTGCTTTGACAAAAAACTGAGAAACTATAAGGAAATGCGTTTATTAGAATATTTTGAGCAGCATTTATGATTGTATGCAGTGAAATGCAGTCATAGATCATTTGTTAAGATTAAAGTCCATATTTCCCAACTCCAACTTTAAAACAAAGTGTTGAGAAAGTCCTCTCATACCAACAGACTGCTGCTGAAGGGCCGCCGCCTCCTCCTCTTCATCATCTTTAGGAATCTCTTTTGGAGGGAGGATGCCTTTCTTCCTCAGGATATCGTTCCACTCTGTGTCTTCATTTGGGTCCTTTAGATAAAAGATGAGAAACATTTATATTACAATTACTGAAAGTTTCACATGGTATTAAATTAAGCAAATAAGCAATTTGGCCCGTCTGAGGTCAACTTGTAAGGGTATTATGTCTTTTTCTGCAAAACACAAGAATCAAAGAAAGCAGAGAGAAAAACAGGGAGTTTTTTTTTTTATATATATGGTAGTTATTCTTTAGTTTGTTTTTGAAAGAGCCATAGTAGCTCACAAATGCTAAAGCTACAGCTGTTCATAGTAATGACACTAAATTGAATGGTGGCTTTTGATGTGGGACAGAAACTAGTAATATTTTTTCTAAGGATATTGTTTTCTAAGGATATTGAGTCAGCAGGGAAGCTGGTTCTCTCTCGTTTCAATCAGTTTTGGATGGTCGATCCTGGGGCGGGATGATATGGCCAAAACTAATTTCACAATACATTTCTTAACTTTGGTCTAGGTCTGAAAGATTTAGCCAAAAATCTAAATTGCTATTGTTTTCAACCAATATTGTGATTTAATAGCAATTTTCCTTTGTACTAAGCACAAACATCTCAATGTTTCATGACCTTGAAAGCCTGCTTGTCCAGAGTTGTGAGACTTTACGGTAACCTTTGAATGAAAAAGTTCTTACTTCTACTATAATGCATAGATCAATGTGCTGCATCATTTTTTTTCCCTTCTGTGGGACAGCATACCCGTTTGAATAGTTATTGTTATTGTTATAGTTATAGTTATAGCCTCCTAAAGGGCTGGAGGAAGAAATTTAGTGTCTTATTCTTGTAAAACTTCACAAAATCCCACCCATCATGGCGATTCGATTCAGTATGATTTTCCTGACCCAATGATTCGATTATTTTCGATACTCAAGAATATACCACGATAAGATTGTTTCATTTTTGTTTTTTTACCTTACAGGCTAGACAATGTTTCAAATTTGAAATAAATCAATAAAAACTGTAATATTGTTCTGCATTTCATTTGAGAAACAAAAGAAAATACCAGAAGTAGCAAAGTTGTTCTCCACCTAGGCCTATGAAAACCTCATCCACTGAAAAATAATAATGCCTCTGTGTTTACGTAACGTGAGTGTGTGTGCAAGCGGAAAGAGGATAGTGGCTAAAGGAAGAGAGGTAGGAGGACAAAATAGGTTTAGCACCACTGCATCAGAGCCAGAATTTTGTCCAGGTGCAAATGGATAAAAAAAGGCCGGAAGAAAAATAAAAACATGAATCGAGACGTGTCGATGCATCGGATCGCCGGCTGTTGGATCGATAAAAAACGATTATCATTTACACCCCAACAATGCGGTATAACTTTGATAATGGTATAAGAAAATATTATAAAGCCTCAGAAAGACAACAAAAAATGCACACAACCTGTACAAATTGATGACCAATTACTTTTCCAGGTTTATTTAACTCCTGCAATATAGCATTTTAGGAATATTTGGTTTAAAAACACAAAAAACACATAAAACTATATAAAACCCAGAGTCAGTCAGTGACAAACTACTACAATAATGTATAATGAAATATCAGATATGGGTTGAAAAGTCATCACCGATAATAAATAAAAATTATATGCAGATATTAGTGATGTTATGAGATGATCCGAGGCTTCGAGGCGTGTGTCGAGTAATGGAGGGGGGGGTTTCCCTGAAGCGCGTGTAGAGGCGTGATTCATTTAGGGGAGGGGCCAAAATTGATGACTTCCAAAGCTTCGTTACTGTGATTCCATGTGACCGCTTTGGGAAGGTGTTCAGAAAGCGAAAGAATTTTGACCGGCATTTAAACAGCCTCAAGATTAAATCCAGATGTGGGTTTTTGTAGGAAAGTTGCTGTCAGTTGGATAGATTCTAAGAATAGATTGGTAGGAAAAACAACCAATCTAGTTGCTTAAAACTATTTTGGTTAGAATAAACAATGTAATGATGAAACTCTGAGCAAGCCACCAGACACAATTGTCATCTTTAAGACACAGACTCCCTCTCCTGAGGTGGATGGTTCAAGACCTACCTTTAACTTTTAAAAGAT